TGACCCTCCCCCCTCTCATGTGCTCTCTCTCTCTTTCTCGCTCTCTCAAATAAATCTTTAAAAAAAAAAAAAAAAGACGACTGCTTTGGCTCTTCGGGGTCCTTTGTGGTCCATACAAATTTTAGGATTATCTACTCTATTATTTTTTTTTCAGGGTATTTTCTCACCAGATCCTTGGAGTGTGCTGGTGGTGGCTTTCTCTCATTGACCATTTCACAGCTGAAGTTTAGAGGACTTGCCCAAAGCCCACTCCATTTTGTTGATGGACTTTTAATGACCACCCATCCATTAAGGACAAAGCTATCCTTAGTGCTTCCCGTCGGCTTCACCCTGATTCCTGCATCAGTCATGATGTAACTCTGGGGTAGGCACTCGACAGGAGCATGGTTTTTAAGTGTTACCTAAGGAGATAGAAGGGCACTAGCCCTGAAGCACATGCCCTATTTGGGAACCCTTCCGTTTCCTTGCCTGGGTTCCTCCTGCTGCTGGGTGGCTTTCTGCAGGCAGCAGTTCCGCCGTAATCACTCCTGGTATCCCCGTCTACCTGCAGGTAACCCCTCTCTATGATCTAACCTGAAAGGGGGTGGAGGGAAGAAGGGGGAGTGATTTTCCAAACTACTTGGTTTTCATCTCAATTTAATAGATCCCCTCTAACCTCCCATACTTCGCTTTCTCTCTTGTCCTGAAAAGTCTGGGCAGGTTCCAAATGGGCAACCTCCCCACGGAGGTGCTGTGAGACACCCAAGTCACTGTAGGGCACGTGCATCATATGATGGCTACAAAAGAAAAACGCAGCTTTAGAGAGAAAGTATGTAACTGGTAAGCAACTAGTTCTTCCAGCTTACCAGAGATGGACCGTTATTCTTAATACCACCATAAGCTATAATTTTTAGGATTACCAGACCTTTTTCCTTACCTAGCAAAAAAATTCTTAAAAAAATTACCCTAGTTTGTATAAATTATTCCAGAGTTAAATCTCATTTTTGCTACCCTCAGTGTATCAACAGAAACAAGTAATCAGTTTGAAAAAGACACACATATTGGCAAAGTACTCTTAAAAGATTTATTGCAATAATACAATAAAAGTTTAGAAAACATTTGTTATGACTCCAACTGGTTTGGAAGTCGCAGAGTAATGGGAAATTCCTGCAACATGACACCACAAGGAGATTCTCAGATGTAGTTCTTCTAAAAACAGCATGCCCCCAAATGTTTCCCAAATTATCGATACATGAATCCTTAAGTGAATCCTGTCCATACACCCAGTGTTGACATACTGTTTTTCCCCTTAACTTACAGATGTGCAAAAATTCTTATATTCCATTACAAAAAAGAAGTCTTTAACAGACCATTTTAAGCAGCCTATTTGGTGCCTGTAGGTTTTTATTAGTATTACCTTGTTTCAACAAATCATTTTATATGGAAAACATGACCAAGTTCTATGGCTTTTGTTTAAAAAAAAAAAAAAAATACCAGCTTCAATTTTTTAAAAAGCTGTTTACATATGGTTCTGGCACCTACATGAAAGATTTTAATGAGCAGCAAAGAGAGTAGGAAAAAACAGTGGTTGAAATGTATATTTAATATTTACAGAGTGGATCCAGTGCAAAATAATGAAAACCAAAATATCTCAGCAGTGTAAGCCAGTATGTTGGTGTTCAAAACCACTAAAGGGTTTGCTCATTTAACCCTAAATAAAGTGCCTCTAGTTGATATAAAAAACAAAATATACCCTATCAATCCCTATTTCCCATATCCTTTAAGTTTTGTTGAATTACTCTCTAGATAGGAGTTGTGATCTCTGGATTCTATTCTTTAGCTTAATCTCAAATTCATGGTTTCTTAAGCGGCCTACTTGAGAGAAACCATGACAACTCCGCATCTTTCAGCTGAAGTCAATCTCTATCCCCAAGCCCCAAATCTGTCTTCCGTCTTAGCTTGAAACTTTTTTTTTTTTTTTTTGAGGGTTTGAAGTGCCTAGACAACCCTTATATTAAGTTCATTTGGTATTTGTTCAAGTACCCATTCCCTATGAACTTCAGACCTGGATGGTATAATGCTAGCTCAGCAATCATGAAGCTGAGTACTTGACACCAGCTATTGAGAACCCACATGGAGAAAAGCCTGTTTCCTCCCCTAAGTGGAAAATTCATAGAGTCCGGGAACTTGGAACTCCTGGATAGGAATAAACACCCTTCTTCTGCAACTCTACCAAACATTAAATATACCAATAGCAAAAGCTATATAGCACCTCGGATTTGTAGGCAAAGTATCAACTATAATAATTACAGGAAGAAAAGAAGCTAGGGTAGGGTAAGTCTCTGATTTATCTGAGGTACTGTCATGCTAATCACACTTAACAAGATATGGTAATAATGCCTGTTAGGAATTTTTCATAGGATTTCTTTTTGTAGTTGTTACATAGGAGTTTTTTGTAATTATTAAAAATAAAAAACTACTTACATATTTGTACATAATGCCTCTCTACAGTTTTCTTATAAGATTGTCACTAAGAGAATGACAAGACAACACATTAGCTGAAAATGATCTCTTGGTGAGGGAAAATTCTGTCAGAGAAGAGTAGTATCAGCTCTGATTTGCTCTGCGTTTCTAAGTGAAGGGAGTGTCCCTAGAGCAACAAAGACCTCTAAGAAAACAAGCAGGATGGTTTTCCCTGGGAAAACCTGCCACCTACTGAATCCCTTAGAAAAAAACTGGGACACCGGAAGAATGACCAGAGGCCATTTAGTTAAGTGGCTTTTAACCTGTGCGCAGGCAAGCATTTAACTTACACAAGGGAACTACCTTAATGACTTTCCACTCAAAAAACAAGTTCAATTTCAAAATGCACATAGTGTAGAGGGTAGGAGTTCAATAATCTAGGTGAGAATGAACTAATTCCTTTCAGAATATAAGAAAATAGTTTTTAAATCTCCAGGCAATCCCTGCAGCTGGGATTTCCTCTGTTCATGGATGTGGGTCCAAAAATAAAAGGGACCTTCATTTCTTTGGTGTGTGGGAGAAAGAAAAATCGGAATGTCTGACAAGCTACGACAGCAGCAGCATGAGTGAAATAATTTTTAAACTACCCCTTCCCCGCCCCACCCCCCAAAAAGCCCCTCCCTTCCAAACAAAACCAACATCCTTGACCTAAAAACCAAACATGACCAGATTCTAAAGAAACCAAGTATTTCAAATCGCCTGCTGGTACAAAAAATGATGGCATAAGCACAAACTCGTACGAAACAGGTTTTATCTTTCAAGTCCTACTCCTCAAGAATCACTTCCTTGTGATTCAGCTTCTACAATGTGAAGTGTTCAGGAACAGTCTCGGCATCACAAGGACCGATGTGTCAGCCCGCCTCTGCGGGTCCTGTGGCCCGTGGCCGAAGGGAGCCCAAAGCATTTTCCGCTTCAACGGAACGGAACACACACTCGTCTTTCTTCCGCCAACACGGGTCTGGGCAGAAGGACCTCTGACCCGGCTGTTCTATTATAAGCATGTGGGTCACCCCCATCAGCCATGTGATACACAGAAATGCTTGTGTCCTGCTTTAAAAAAAACCCCCAACAGTTTAACCTCTTTTTGTCCCAGGCACTAGCCTAGCTGAACACACGAAGTGCACCGGAGCACAGTGGAAGAGCAACCTGGACACAAACCTGGCGCGTTTCGGTCCGCGCGCACTAGCGGTGTCCAGTGTACGCCTTAAACCAGGACGTGACCGAGGCCGCGGCGGACGAGATCATGCCCCCGGCACTGCTGCTCGCGCCGGGCGGGGACAGCTGGCCGCTCTGGCTCTGGGAGCCTTCCACGGGCTGCGAAGGGATATCGCAGAACCGCGGGCTCGGCAAGTTCTCCCAGTCCGTGCCCAGGTCGGTCTCCTCATCACTGACGCGCTCGTCGCCGCTCTCAGCCGATTCCCCGGCGACGCCGGGCTCCACGAACTCCATGGACTCCTCCAGGTCCGCTCGCACTTCAAAGGGTCCCGACCTGCGCGCACACACAACCGGCACTGTGACGACGGTGACGCGGGCCTGACGGGACCTAGAGTCCACCCGCTTCCCAAGCCTGCACCGGACCCCCCGATGGTCTGTAATGGCGGCCTGCTTCACCTGAGTAACTGCCATCCAAGGAAGGAATAAAACCACAACACCACGTGTTCAAGTCCACCTACCCGATTTGTGAAGATCCTGGATGGAAAAAAACCCTCCACCGAGACTAGGCCTGCTGGTCCAAAGTACGATTTCCTCTTTAAACAACTGCAATATCTATGCATTCCGATGGGAGAGTTTTGACAAAAACAGTCACTGGATGTATACTCTGGGCTGTCCGTGGAACCAGTAATAAACAATATAGAAAAAAACGTACAGATGTTCTCTGCCTTATGGAAGCCCCCAGTTTGTACGTTCCTACGACTCAAAAGAGCCAACCAGTTTGGGTGCGTGCATGTTAGCAGTGCTTCCTTGGATTGGTGTCAACAGCAGGCTCAGGCACCCATTTTAAGATATGATCACGATTTTCTAGGGGCCCATTTATAACAGAATGAGCTATAACTATTTAGAACATAGTCATCTGGAATAATCCATATTTCTGCACTGTATTTGAGGAGAAAACTGTTCCCCAAAGGTCCCTGATGACATCATCGTCTCCAAATCTAATCACCTCCCTCAGGCCTCACCCTCTGGGACAGCTCCTGAGCGCCGCTGTGGGGCGGTGTCAGCAAACCCTGTCAGCCCCTGCCTCACGAGAGCCCGGCTGCGCTGGCTTCGGGTGGGCAGTCACCCCACCGCCCCCTGCTCTTCTCCTAGGACTTCCCGGTAGCCAAGGCCCCCCAGCAGCCCCTCTCCAGTGCTGCCCCCAAGATAAGGACACATGCCTCCGATAATGACTAGGGAAAATGATGGGGGTTAGCAAAAATCAAATGACAGAGATCCTAGAATAGGTACAGCTTGCCATTTTAGTCTATGGCCCAAAATTCTTCATGGCCTTAACAATGACAAAAGCCTAGCGATGGCCTCCCATAATGTACCTGACCATGCCTGCACCTTCCGACTCACTTTCTCCAGGGTCAAGCAGCCTTTGTTCCTCCAAGACAACCTTGCTTCCCGGCTGCACCAGCAACAGTAACAGCTAACACTTCTGTCCCAGGCACTGTTTTTAGAGCTTTACAAATATTCATTAAATTGGAAGATGCACCATAGGGTTTCCCTTTGGTCTCCTGTGAGCAATTTGCATATCAAAGAGCCCCTCTGACCAGGGGCTCCCAAGTTTACAAGGCCTCCATCTAGCCCAGAAGTCCTTACTTTTCGCAAGGGGTGAAGGCAGCAAGAACTGGGAGACTCTCCCCATGAACCCCCCCCACCTCCCGCTGCAGCTTTTCCAAACTAACCAACCATCACTGAAACCGGCATCTTAGCTGAGTATCCCTTTCCTGTTTCCTTAAAAGGCTCTCCTTACAATCCATTTCTTTTCTCTTTTCCTTTTTCCCCTTGGTAAATAGGTCTCCAAAGATTTGTTTTTGATGCCTCTCCTTCCTCCCAGCTTCACCGCCCGCCAGGGCTCTCCACCGGAGCGCCAACCTTTCCAGCTCATCTCACCTTATCTGAGCCAGGCAGCCCTTCTCCAAACAAGCCGGCTGGGCCTCCGCCCTCATGCTCCTGCCTGAGATCACCGAATAAATCCCCTTTCGAGCCTCAACACATCCCCCACCCCCCCCCAGCTCAGGTCCTCACTGCACCACCACCCCTTGTAGCCAGCCTCTACCTGCAGTCAGCCCCACCCGCCTCAGCGCGCCAGAGACCTGCCTCTTTCTCTCCTCGCGGCGGCGGCCTCCGAAAACTGTTCGTAAGGTAGCACCTCAGCGGGTTCCCGCCTTTCCTAAACACAGGGCCCTCTCATTCTGTCCTGTTGAGCTTTGTTGTCCGGGGGCCTCTGCAACTAGCTCCAGATGAAGCCTTCCTGCTAGCTCAGAGGCATAGCCTGTTTTCGGTTCCTCTTTGATGTCGCCTTATCTACACGGACTGCCATTGTCCCCAGACCCCCTCTCGAAAGGTTTTCCCAGGAGAGAGGGGTGATACTTCCTCCAGCAGAGCTCCCCAGGAAGCCAGGTGGGACTCCAGTGCTCTGCTGGAGTCCCACAGGGCAGAGTCTAGTGACACGGAACAGGTACTCAGTGAAGTACTGCGACTGAAAAACCAGTGGAGGATTCCCAAAGTGGCCAGCTGGAGCAATTTCTGTTACCCAGCATACCCTGAGCCACACACATCACACAAAATTAGCAAAAGAATTAAATCTTTTACGCTTAAGGTCATCAGGGAATAAAAATTACTAATTTTCTCAAGATGCTGCAGGGAATTCTTCTTCTCGATTAAGGCAACAAAATGACCTTTTTGGTTTTTTAAAACTCTCTTTTGCAAAATATCTTATTTCAAAAATATTACCGGACAGAATATACAACATCAAAAATGAACCCTAATGTAAACTACGCACTCTGGATGATAATGATGTTAACGTAGGCACCATCAGGGTAAAGACTGAATCCGATAAGAAAAATCAACAGATGTTAAATCTAGGGGGAAATTCTGATGAGCCGGATAACTGCATGGTCTCAAAGTGGCTCCCCACAGACTGCTTCTTAGTTGCAAGGAAGGAAAAAGCTAGGATTATACAGTGGAGAAGGTGGAAAGCATCGTGACTGGGTGATCAAATTAACATCACCAATGAGGGACAGATGGCCACTGTGGCCCCCAGAGTGTCCAGGAAACACTCCTGGCCCAGGCGGTGTTCCAGCCTCGAATGCACAGAATTCCTGGAATCTCACTCCAAGGAAGCACCAAATTCAGAATGAAAGTTCTATTAATACAAAGGGAAAAATGTTAATGTCGTTTAAGACAAAGTAGGCAATGGAAATACTCCAAATTTAAAAGAGGTTAAAGAAACACAGCAACTAAATCCAGCACCAGACTCTAGGTTGGACCATATACTGGAGGGAAAAATGCTGTACAGGACATTAATCTGGTCCACAGTGGATTAAACTATTGTATCAATGTGAAATTTGCAAATGTTGGTAACTGTACTGTAGTTAAACAGGAAAATACCCCTATTTTTAGGAAATACATATAGAAGTATTTAGGAGTCAAGAACCATGATATATGTATATCACTTACTCTCACAGGGTTCAGGAAAAAAAATGTGTATGCGTGTGTCTTTATGGAGACAGATTACACAAATGATAAGGCAAATAGGGTAAAACGGTAACAAAGGTGAGTCTGGGTAAAGGGTATATGTCTTTGTACTACTACTATTTTTTGCAATTTTGAATATTTTTGCAAGTTTGAATTTATTTCAAAGAAAAAAGGTTTATGTTGGATTCTGGATGGGATCCTTCCTTCAGCTGGTCTCCATGGAAACAGGACGTCCCACCCAGGTGACTGATTGAGGCAGGTGTGGAAGGGGACTTCTGAAGCTCCAGCTCCTGGCCTCTGGCCCACAGACCACCAGCTCGGGGGCAATGAGCCTGGCTGAGTATGTGTACTTCTGTCACACAAACCCCTACCCTAACTGGAGAGCTGACTCCAGGGCAAGCCCAGAGAAAACTTCAGACCCTCCAAAGAAGTCCACCCCTAGCAGAAGAGAGCCTGTTTTTTGGAACTACCACCAATACTGGATATCGTCAATCCTTTCCATTTTTGCCAAACTGATGGGTGAAAACTGGAAAGCTGTTTTGAATTGCACTTCTTTATTCTTGATTGAGGCTGAAGACTTTTTTCATTTGAATACTGATTACTTGCATTTCTTTTGTGTGACCTGCCTGGATTAATCCTTTGGCTGTTTTTCTATTAGGTCTGCTTTTCTTTTAGAGATTTGAAATTTTAATCCGTCGTCTGATATACAGGCTGCAAAACAGATCTGTTGTTTATCTTGTAACTTTCTGGAATCTGGTATTTTACCAGAGGCACTTAGAGTTTTTACACAGTAAAATATGTAACTCCTTTCCTTCATGGTTTTGGGGTTTTGTGGCTTGCATGGGAATTCCCTCCCCATCCTGTGATTATAAAACACTGTCTTTCTCCTATTTTATACGGTTTTTTCCTTCAATAAAATAAGGTCTTTTCTATCATCTGGAATTTATTTTTATATACAGAATGTAGTATGAGTCGAGCTTTGTTCTTGTGTGAATACCCCACTAGCCCGCCACTATCAATCTATTATTATCCAGTTCAACATGCTGGCCCTTGTTGTGTTATGCTTCTCACAGGGACAGGGCCTCTTACAGGGTCTCTGGACTCTCTTCTCTTCGTCTAATTGTTCCACCTACTTGCATGCTAACGGCACCTTGTTTTAATTACCTTTATACTATGTTTTAAAGAGGGCCAAGCCCATCCTTTACTATTCTTTTTCAAAATTTCCTTGCAGCCTGTGCTTCTAGTTCAACTTCAGAATTAGCTTGTCAAAGTTCCATGAAATACCTGTTGAAATTCTGATCAGGTTTCCTTTTGGGGAGAAGTAGCATTTTTGTAATACTCAGCCTTCCTCTCCTAGAAAATCCCGAGGGTGTTCCCTGCCTCAGGCCTTCTTTCATTCAGGCCCACGCCTTGTGCAGTACCTGGCAGACATTCAAGAAATAGGTGTGGAATCATTTTTTTTTCAAGTTTCATATTTTCTCTATATGGTCTGGATATATTTTGTAAAGATTATTCCTAGATAATTTATTGTTTGTGTTGCTACAGTAAAGGGGGACGCTTTTCTCATTCCATCTTCTGACTGGCTGTCAGCACGTAAGCAAGCACGCTCTCTTGGATGGCCAGTTCACCCATCATACCCTCCACAACAACGCCAACCTAGCTTCTTTCTTTCCAACATAAATAGACCTTACTTCTCTGTAAAACCGTCCCGCCTCGCCTAGGCTCCGGAGCCATGTGAACGCAGCAGTGACACGGCATCCTCTTGTTTTCCTCACTGCACAGGAATGCTTTTATTAAACATCCATGGAAGGAACATGTCATTAAATATAGTCTTTTCTGTAGGCTTATGGTAGATATCCTTTATTAATAAACTATTTTTAACTTGCAACTAGTTTTCTTCACTTATTCATAGGAACGGAATTTTATTCACTGCTTTTCTGGCATCTATCAGGTTGATCTTACGGGTTTTTTTTCTCTTTTTTGATCTGTTCATGTAATGAAGTGGTGTGTACTGGTTAAAAGCATGAGTATCTACCACTTAGTGGAAGTGCTGGAACCCTGGCCCTACTACTCAGACTGCCTCTGTCATCAGGGGCACGAATTACTTGACCACGCTAAGCTTCTGTTACCAGCCCCCTCTGTAAAATAAGAATAATAAGTCCACCTATGATTTAAGGCATGTCTGGTAGTTGGCTCAGGGTTGATAAATACTGGCTCAATAAATATTAGTTCTTATTATTAATGATTTTCTAATGTTGAGCCCTATATAAATAATGTACCAAGAGGATGGCAAACAACCCACAGAAATCAACCACTAAAACTGGGATGGATTTCCAACAGGTTCATGTGGTTTATGAACTAATGAATGGAACTTGAGGAGAGGAGCATGAACTCCCTGTAAAATGGCACAAAATTCTAGGTGTGTGTGCAGTTCCCTGGAGAGTGTGCACAGCTTTTTCCAAAGCGTTCTATGTCCCAGGAAAGTTACTGTGTTAGGTGGCGGGGAGAAACACAAGCCAGTGGCTAAGAGCAGATTACCACGGCAAGTTCCCTGCAATGTGGAGGAAGCCAAGCACCCTCGCCGGTGGAAGGGACCTCCCCTGAGCCTTGGTTCCAGTCGTAAAAGCAAATGAACGATGGGAAGGGGACTCCCCAAAAGAACGTTCCCACCTTTTATTTTCTTTGTCCTCTTTCACAAGTGCAGATACACTAAACCAAGTCGTATCTCAGAAGCGTATGGACAGACAGCTAAGAGTGTGGAAAAAGGACACGTACTCAGAGAAGGGTGACCTGAATGGTCCTAGCTTCCTCTGTGTCATGTTTTTTGGGCTGAGAGACCAGGAAGATCCCATAGACCAGCCCTGGTTGGTCTTTTTTGTTACTGACTCCTGTTTTTAAGGTAATGGATTTTAAACTAGTTCACCCCATAAACTTGAAATACCCTTTATCTCCAATAGATGGTGGCCAGAGAGACAAAAAGACTGGGAAGAACTGTCACAATGGGAGGAGGCAGGAAAGGCAAGGCACAGGAAAAGGGGCAGACACTACACAGTGCTAAGGAAAAGACGTGGAGTCCAAGACACGGCTTCCGGTCTTCAAGGACGGCACGAGGCGGCCCCTCGGGGAACATGTGGGTTCTTCTATTTCATTTTAGGTGTTAAAAATGTTTGCTATTAATTTTCCGAGAAATGATTATGTAAGGACCATAAAGGTTCAAATATGCTTAGCCACTCTTTCCTTCTGTACAGGACCGCATTATTTTTGTCCTTTGTGGAGACTCTGGGGGTGAGGACCAGGCCCCTCGCTCTGCCGACGCACATGACAACTCTATTAGAAGTACTCACAGCACCACCACTTAGAGAAAAGCAAACACCGTTCTTACCTGCCCAGGTGTTCAGAGTTCGGACTGACCAGGTACATTAGGTTCCTGAGAGTATGCAGTGGTTGTAACTGATCTAAGTTTACATGCTAGAAAAAGCGAAACACTGATTAATATTTTGAACCAGGTAACACATTAAAAATTAGCTCACAGTATATTTTCCATACCTGAGAAAAGCACAGGTAAAGAATATTTGCATTCAGTTTCTTCACTGCTCGAGTAAATTTCTGTCTACTGAGATTTTCCCCACAAAATTCACTGGAAAACAAACATACAATTTGTAAAATTGTATCTTTCTGAGGAAATTCTATGGTAAAATGTCTATCTGGAAGTACACCACAGCTCAGTATAAAACAAACCCCATGTCGTTTGCCTCTTTGTAAGTTAGACTCAACAGAGACTTTCTGAGAATGAACCACCGCCTTCAGGACGAGCAACTTCACGGCAGCTAAGAAATTACAAACGCAGAGACCCTCTAGCCAAGCAGCTCCACTTCGGAAAATTTATCCAACACAAATACTTGCACACCGATGAAATGACGAATGTACAAGATTATTCTGTGAAGTATAAATAGGGGGCTGGTGAGACCCTGGCACACTTACACAAAGAAGCCTCTGTTAACTGTCCACTCCGTGGAGAATGCGAGCTGGAGGCTCACAATGGCCTGACGAGGCCCACCCAATTTGTACCCCTGCCGTCTTTGCTGCCCTCGCTCTCCCCAGGGCTTGCTCCCCTCTTCCCTCAGGGTCACACGTGATCATACACCCGCCCACTCACATACCGCAAGCCCCTTCCCTGCCTCCACGTTCCCGTTCCCTTGCTTTCATGTCCTCCACGGGATTCATCACCATTGGACACCCTGCTCATTTATTATCTGTCCCTCTGTTAGAATGAAGGGCCAAGAGGGCAACGATTATGTTCTCACCACCACTGTAGCCTCTCAGTGCCTAGAAAAGGGCTCCAATATTTGTTAAATACTCAAAAAGGTGTAAAACACCCTAGTATATCTTTTGTGTTTAAAAGGGGAGACCGATGATAATACATATTTATTTGGCTTGAGATGTAAGGATGACCAGACAGGGGTAGGAAGGTCTTAGTAGAACTGAGTAGAACTTAGAACTGAGTAGACTGTAAACCTTTACTTTTTTTTTAAAGATTTTATTTTGGGGCACCTGGGTGGCCCAGTCAGTTAAGGATCCGACTCTTGGTTTCGGCTTGGGTCATGATCTCAGGGTCGTGAGATCAAGCCCTGTGTCAGGCTCCCCGCTCAGTGCAGAGTCTGAAAAGACTCTCCCTCTCCCTCTGCCTGCCTCCCCCCTCACCCCCACATGCTCTCTCTCTCAAATAAATCTTAGAAGAAGAAAAAAAAGATTTTTAAGTAAGCTCTAACCCTGAGATCAAGAGTCGCATGCTCCACCAACTGAGCCAGCCAGGCACTCCTACATTTTTGTTTGAATTTTTAAACCACCTGTTTTTATTTTAAAAAGTTAAAAAAAAATATTCAAGTGTTCTAATTTACCCAGTTCTTATACGTGAGCATGCCCTCTGAAGATCCTAGTTTGTCCTTCAATTATTTTTCCAAATGGGAGAATTCTCTGTGGTCTTCTCAAAGACTTCATGTGCAATTATAAGATAATGAAACAAATTTGCACATTAGGCTTTTGAAATTAATCTCAATATTTCACAGTCATTTTTCTAGCTTAATAATACTTAAATTCCTGGTTTTGGTTCAATTAGAGTAAGTACACAATAGGAAAATGACATCTACGATAAAGATGACATTGCCACCTTCGATTACTTGCCTGTTGCACAGCTTTTTAGGGAGATTTATGTCAAGTATATGAGACAAAATGTTGACCAGCTGAGTCGCATAGCACAATGCAGCACTGATCGTGTAAGCGGGGTTACTATGCTCCATGTCTGAAGTATAAAAACAACCATATACAAACAACTTTAATTTCAACAAAAAATAGCAATGAACCTAGATTTTATGATTTATAATTTTATCATTACATTGTTGATGATTATGTTTTGCTCCTTATTAACATACTAATAAAAGGTTCATGGCCACACATTAATGTTTCATCATTTATGGTTTTTGCGGAGCGGAATGTAACCTAAGCAAATGAGCCCAGGCAGACCCAACATAAATGAAATTAAAGTCTGAACTGCTTGGACCTGTGAATGTATTATTTATTAGAACAGTAAATGCCCAACTTACATGTCACCCCTCAGAGAGGCCTCCCCTAGGCTACGCCTGTCTTGGTGACAACAGCTTTGTTTCGCCAGCACCTAGCATCGTGCATGACAGAGAGCACATACTCACTGTGTACTTGCTAAATGACTAAGTGAACAATCTTTTCTCCACCAAAGAAAGCTCTAGAGGTTTTCAAGGGTTTTTCTACTGGGCTATTTCTATCTCCATTTCGGGCTGCTAAAACAAGCTCTTTACAAAGAAACTATAAAAACAGGACTCAACCGGCTAAATATACTAACTAGTGAGGTCTTTTCATATAAATAAAGCAATATCGGTCCCCCAAAAGTGAAATATCTAAAAAATGTTTTCAGTCCATTCACTGATGGACTGGATATAAAACGTGGTATATCCACATTACATACAATGGAGTATTACTCGGTCACAAAAAGAATGAAATGCTAATTCATGCCACAATATGGATGAACCCTGAAAACATTATGCTATGTAAAAAAAGCCAGACACAAAAGGCCACCCATTGTATGATCCCATTTCTATAAAATATCCAAAATAGACACATCTGTAGTTACAGAAATCAAAATTACAGATCTTCCTTGACTTACAATGGGGTTATGTCCCGACAAATTCATAACTTGGAAATATCCTAAGTCGAAAATAACATTTAATGCTCTAAACTACTGAACGCCATAGCTTCGCCTGGCCTGCCTAACACAGGCCCGGAACACTGACATGAGCCTGCAGTTGGGCATAATCATCTAACACAAAGCCTATTTATAATAAAGTGTTGAGTATCTCGTGCAGTGCATTGCATCCTATACTGAAAGTGAAACACAGAACAGTTATCAGCGTATCTACCGGCTGCGGACCTTCACGACCACGGAGCTGCCTGGGAGTTGCGGCTGCCGGGGCCCGGACCATGAGAGAATATGCACGGCACAGCGCTAGCCCAGGAAACGATCCAAATTCAAAGTTCAAAGCGTGATCGCTACTGACCGTGTATCGCTTTTGCACCAACATAAAGTAAAAAAAATTGTTAAGTTGACCCACTGTAAGTTGAGATCATCTGTAGGGGCTGCCCAGAGCTGGGAGGAGAGGCGACGGGGGCATGACAGCTTCGTGCCCTGGAGCTCCCGTCTGGGGTGATGCCAGTGCTCTGGAACTCAACAGAGGGGGTAACCACACAACACTGTGAATGTATTCACGCTGCAGGACTGTCCACTTTACAACCGTTCATCTCATTACGTAAATTCTACCTCAATTAAAAAACATACCTAACTTCTAAGTTTTCAAGGACTATTTTGATTCTCACCAGGCCCCTGCGTGGTTTTCTTCTCTTCCACCCAATTGTAGTATGCAGAGTAGTCCCCGTTGTTGGGAAGGCTAATCCAAGGCCCTGTAATGCTAATGCTGGTGTCCCCATTGTGATCGTCACAGATCCATCTTCCCGAGAGGTAAGTCGTCCTCCGGGCTTCAGCAAGCTTGCTCACGGTGCTGGAGGTCATGGCACTGTCGCTCTCTGAGGACACATCTGCAGGATCTCTAAAAATCAGAACATACATATGGATTTCAAGGGAATGGGATTTAAAGAGCATGCAAGATACTTGCCTGATATGTAGAACACTGAGAGATGCACACACGAGGACAGAGTTTAACTAGGATATACAAAGGTAAGTAATTCTATCAGACATGAAGCTCAAACCAGCTGTGGCACAGAAGGCCATACCAATGTGAAGAGGATGGCACCATGAGCTGGGGCCTCAAGTATTTGGTCTCAAGACCCCTTTACATGCTTACAATTTTTTGAGGACCCCACAAAGAGCTTTTGTGTATGTGGGTTAGATCTACTGATATTTACTTGCATTAGAAATCTGAGAAAATTTTAAATTATTCATTCATTTGGAAATAATAAACCTATTACATGTTAACATAGCATATTTTATGAAAACAAAAAACCTGTACTTTTCAAAACAAAATTAGTGAAGAATGGCATTGTTTGTTGACCAGCTGAAACACACAGAAAAACACAGCACTGGTCAAGAATTTTGAAAATCTCTTACACCCAAGTCTTGCAGTTGTTCTTTCAAGTAAAAGTAGTGTCCCATGCAAAAACCAGCTAGTTCCACTTGCAACCCACTCAAGTGCTTTTTCTTAAGCCCACCACAGCCCTTCAGTCTGGAGCCAAAGAGCCTTCTGCACAGTTCCCATTTCATCATGTGGTATATTAAAACAATGTGTACACAAGGATCAAGACTTAATAAAATTTAAATAAAAATATGATTTCTACTGCTTCATCAAGAGCATCCTTGCTGTGAACTGCTTTTTTCCTCAAAAAACGCAAGTACGTGGTAGAATACGACTAGTAACATAGTTGGTGTCACTGCTTAGACATCTGTCAAGGCACCAGTTTTTACCCACGATAGCTTCTGAGCCGCCAGTGCAAATGTCCACATGGTGAAAAGGGAAATGAAGTGTTACCGTTTGTACAGAAATACTTGCGACAGCGCAGACGGCACTCTGAGCTCTGAGCACCATGGGCCGGGAGAGCGGGAAGGAACGAGAAGTCAGGGCGGACACAAGCGGGGCACAGAGACCATCCGACCCACGAGGTTGGGGCGTCGGCCGCCCAAGGGAAGCGCTAGGAGATGGTGTTGGACAAGTAGGTGGGGAACTGGCAGACTGGGGAAGGGCCTCTGCGCTGCACTAAGTTGAGGTTCTGTTCTCAATCCTTTCTCCTCCTGCCACTGCGTGCCTGTGGGGTAAGTGCCCCTGGCGGTCACGGGGAAGTGGGGCAGGGCACTACGGCCAGGTCTGAGCGGCACCTCTGCTTCTTCCTTCTTCCACGGAACAAGTTTGAGGAATGCGAATGAACAAGAAATCTTATTACAGGAATAACTTCAAAACTATCAGCTTTAAAAAATTACCAGCATATAATATCATGTACTGCTATAAAAGATTTAAACAGCACAGGCAGAGAGGAGTAAGTTTTTCTCCATGTTTTCTCTTCTGCAGCTTCGCATTCAGTTGTCGGTCTCCCTGGTCTCCTCAGATCTGGGACAGCAAATTAAGACTGTGTCGTTGTTTAATGTGTTTTAACACTGATATCTTGGTCCATCAGAATCTAATTTAGCACTGGGGCTGCCTGGCTAGCTCAGCCAGAAGAACACCCAACTCTTGATCTTGGGGTCAGGAGTTCAAGCCCTACGTTGGGTGCAGAGATAACTGAAAAAAATAAACTTAAAAAAAGAATCTGATTTAGCATAATGTTTCCATTTTATTAGCTTTTTCCTCCCCAAAGTCCTGGTCGTCTGTTTTTACACCAGTCTTTGGATACCCCAACTCCTCCCCACTGATCCAAAAGAGTCTATTTCTGAACTTCCTATTCTGTTCTATTTTGAATCTGCCTTTTTATTTTTATATTTGCCAACTATTACTAATGAAAAATTACTTGGTAAGAGTCGGGGAGCAGGTTTTCAAGCCAGAATAATCAGACCTTGAGGCTTTTAGGAAGTTAACTATGGCAACAGCCGAAAGGACACAGTGAAGTAGAGGGAGCAAAGCGGAGTAATTTAAGTCCTCACTAGTCACAGTGCACGGACTAGCCGGGGAAGGATGCTTGGAAGTGAGGACAACTAAGGGACAGGAAAATCCTCAACTGGAACAGCCTGATGGTTAGTGAGAAAGCAAATGAACTTCTCAGTAGCAGTTTTCAAACCTCATCAATTATCTGGGGAAGTTAAAAAAAAAAAAAAAGTATTACAAGATGGGCTGGAGGGCTAAAGGTGTGTCCTCTGGAACCTGTATTTTTCAAAAGTTCCTAATTGACTCTGATGAACATCCAGGTAGGGAACCACTGTCTTGTCCATCTGATGACTCCTGAGGGTATCCATGCACTAGAGCCTAAGACTAAACTCACAGTCTCTGGGGCACCTGGGTGGCTCAGCAGGTTAAGTGTCTGCCTTCAGCTCGGGTCGTGATCCCGGGGTCCTGGGATCGAGCCCCGCATCGGGCTCCTTGCTCAGCAGAGAGCCTGCTTCTCCCTCTGCCTGCCATTCCCCCTGCTTATTATGCTCTCTCTCTCTCACTATCTCTATCTCTCTGTCAAATAAATAAATAAAATCTTTAAAAAAATAAACTCACAGTCTCCAGCGCTTGCCAGGGGCTAGTTACCAGGAAAAGGCTACGTCAACAGGTCAGTCAACAAGTGAGGGCACCACTTCTCTGAGGGCCACTGCCCTTCACCTTGGCTGCCTCCCCTATTTCGTGCAGCGTGTACTGTTTGCTGAAGCAGATTAGACTTCAGTTTAATTACCAGGAAAGCCAATGACCCCAGAATGAACCCGATAAATGAGGCGTTTCCATATTTGAAAAATACCTGATCTTTGAAACTTGATCTATTCCTAGAGTCAAAAGACTCACTGTACCTCACACTAGTCTTTACTTCCTCGATTGGAAAAATGACAGAGGTGAGCTCTAATATATGAGATCGCCGAAGATCTGCCAGACGCTCATAATGACTTCTTAAGTCAATGGTTTTTTTTTCTACCAGGTCACCAAGTCTGCGATTGTGCCTCTGAATCTTCTCCTTTTTCTCTTGATGCCGCTGTGCTCGAGTATAGAGCTTCTGATTCTTTTCCTTGGTTTTGAGAAGGCCTTCAGAATCTGAAATAAATCACACCCAACAATTATCTCTACAAATGGCTCCTGGGGCCTACAGAACCCACCTCACAAGTGTAAGCATCTTCCTGAAGTTTAAACCGAAAGCAAAACCTCAATCAGGTTAATGTTCCACTAAGTGGAAATTGAGAGTTTAGCTTAAGTAAATAAATAAATCAAAGTGGACCATCACCTAAAGGACTCTGGGTCTCCATCTGTAGTCATCATTTGTAAGAATCACTCAACAACTATCAAGTTTAAGTTCAAGCCAGGAAATATCTGACTTATTGGTAAGCACTGAAGAATAACCATGATGGGCAGAAAAGATATCTAATCCAAGTTTGAAAAACTTACTGGCTATCTGATTTTCCTTAGAAACCTCTTACATATGCCTTGGGCTCCACTGAGACCCAGGGATAATCTCACGACAGGTGGTCATGCAGCAAAGAAACAGACCAAGGGCTCTGAAAAGTTACAGTGGAGTGTGGCGGCACCCAGCAGGGTGGGAGTCCTTATTATATGCCAGCATTTGAAGCACTGCAGGGGCAACCAAAGCCCGGCCACACAATCAAGAATGGAGACAGATGCTCATCCTGTCTGATGTGTGTCCTTTTCATGAAGCTCCTTCAGGTTCTGGATCAAAACCTGTTAGGGTGTTAGGGCTGTAACTCAACTTCTCTCGAGTGGCAAAAACGAGTTGCAAAATCTCAGACTCCTAGAAGTAACTTAGGAGGCTCAGACAAAAGTTCAAAATCAAGCTCATTATTTTTCCACAAAAGCCTCATCTTGATACCTAGGTTCTCTACTTAATGATTTTTTTTGACCTGTCCACGGCCTAAGTCAGTCCCCTGCTGGTCAATTCCATGGGCTGACCTACTATTCTTCCGCAGAGGGCTTTCTTTTCCTTCCCAGTGTTACAATCTTACTAACTCTCCCCCAAACCCCCCTTCCAGCTCAGTTCCACTCCAGGCCTTCACCAGCCCAGTCTTCATCAACTGTAAGCAGTGCCCGGCGGTTCTCCACTGCGCAACAAACACACACCGACCTCCTTGGCCTTGAGGCCACTCCCACACTGGCACATATCCCACAGTTCCCTTCTGCACCCCTTCACCCCAGCCTCATTCAGTTACTAGGCACTCCAAACCTTTTCCACAAAGTGGAACTATTTCAGTGCATGCATGCATGGATGGATACTGAACCAGTCATCATTCCCTTCAGGATGTCCTCCACAGATCCTATTCAGATCAATGTCTCTAGGAATGCTATTAGCTTCTACTCTTCAAATGTCCAAATTTTTCTCATTCAGCCAGGCCCCCTTCCATAAATGCTCCCCAGACCTTCTGCTCCTCGGAAGCCCAATGCAATGTGTGTACCTCACCTATAGCTGAGTTCCTTACACCAGGTCCAGCCAAAGCCTTGTTCTCCCCTGACTAGCATATAACAAACATCTGATAAACATCCTCACTCAGAGGACCACTGAACCTACGTATTTCACTGTAGGCATAAGGTTTCTTGCGGTTTAGTTTCCCCTTACTTGTGCATTCTCTTTACCATTCTTGCTCAGTGTGGATGTTCTAATGTTTAAGTTGCTGGTTCCATCACACTTATCTTCCAGCAAGCTCATTCATTTTCATCATCACTACTGAGCTCTTTGCAAGTGCTCAAATGAATGTCTGGCCATGGGCCCCAGTCATATGGTCAGATTTTTTAAGAACAGTTTCCAACTTGGTATCTACTGGATCAAAACCTGTTAGGGTGTTAGGGCTGTAACTCAACTTCTCTCGAGTGGCAAAAACGAGTTGCAAAATCTCAGACAGGGCGCCTGGGTGGCTCAGTTGGTTAAGCGACTGCCTTCGGCTCAGGCCATGATCCTGGAGTCCCGGGATCGAGTTCCGCATCGGGCTCCCTGCTCAGCGGGGGGTCTGCTTCTCCCTCTGACCCTCCCCCCTCTCATGTGCTCTCTGTCTCTCTCATTCCGTCTGTCTCAGATAAATAAATAAAATCTTTAAAAAAAAAAAAAAAACTCAGACTCCTAGAAGTAACTTAGGAGGCTTCTAGGTGCCACCCTTCACAGGTGGCAGGACACCACCAGTCACCTAATGTGCACTAGTGCAGACTCAGCACTCAAGAGTTTAATTTGTCCTCTCCATGCCATCTCCCCCTAAACATAAAAACACTTTGATGCTACTTCTGTCATCTACTGTTGCTTATTTGGATAAGTAACTTTATAGCACAGATCGACTCAACCTTAAAGGTTCATACAATCCAACTTCTCTATCTATACCAAATATCTGTATTATTCTGTATCATGACACATAAAATCAAAAGATTCTGGAGAAATATTCATCAGGTTCTACAGTTTATAATATATAACCTTTTCCAAATATATGTGATATTTTAACAACAAAATTTAAACAAATACTATTTACTGGGTAACAAGCTCTTCACTTGTGGACTTGAGACCATGCATGGTTTCTGGAATCCATGAACTCCCTTAAAATTGTTTGCAAAATTTTTTGAGTCTCGTCTAAAGGGTGGCAACTAGACTGCATTTATGTTCTAAAGAGCAGTGGTTCCCAGCCCTTGGTAGGTCATCAGTACCACCCAGAGTAGTGCTCCTCAAAGCGTGGCCCGTGGATCTAGGCCCATCAGTAAACTTTTACCAGTCAGACAAGAGAAGTACAGAAATACAGAGTAAGTTTAGCAACATTTTTCTTTGACATGCCATCCAAGTGTGCAATCATTTTTCTAGTATTTTATTGTACTTTATAAAAGTATTGGTATCAGCTTATGACATTAGAAATCAGAGAGGGAAAAATGGTCTTTTACTACAGACAGTTTAAGAACCTCTGACCCAGTCCCCACACGAGATTTGAATTTCCTAAGTCCAAGGTGGGTCCCACGATTCTCTCTCTAGATTTTACAAGGGTTACCAGGTGACTCTGAGGATTTGCTAGGTCCACTGCTTTAGTACCAAATCTTTTCTGTGGTGGTCGTTTTGTTTTGGGGAGTTAGGAATCTGTTAAATTCAGCTGATCAAAGTTTTAAACTTGCTCATCAGGCAAGGCACAAACTCAGTAAATCCAGCAATTCTAGGAGGTTCACAGACACCTGGGAGCAAGTCGCCCATGTGAACATCATGGGAGGATGTGGAGAGGGGGGTAAGTTTCAAGTCCCTACGCTGCTGCTGAACCAGAGCCTCTGGAGATGCACACAAAGCTCAGTGGGTAACCAGCTGTCTGTGGTTCTGAGCACCTCTTCCCCATGCTGCTTTCCTCTCTAGCTTACTAAGCCTGTGAAACTCCACAGGAGCATTTTATTAGGACAAACATTTTCAAAGGAAGCTTTTGCTCTATTACATACCACTATAAAATACTTGCTTCTGAAAGCAACGAGCAGACAAGAAAGGGATTCATAAGGTATGATGGTGACTCACTCTGAATTTTAAACAATGATCTTCAGAAATACATGGAATATGTCTAAGGATACAGGATTTCTAAGAGGACTCTCCTAAAATTTGATAACCATTTACGATGAAGGATGAGGTACACAAATATAATGTAAGATTAATACAGATTAAAAGGTGTATGAGACTCACAAATAGAAAAAGCCAATATTCTGTGTTTCTGGAGTGAACTAATAATTATAACTGAGTACCAAGCTTCTTCTTAGCAAAGGCAAATGGGAAATATAAATTCCTTAACTTTTTTAATTGAGAAAAGTAGTTTATTCAAAGGTCATCATATTTGTGTGTATATGTATATATAAAATATATATATTTGGAAAAATATTTACTTAAAATCCTTATACAAATGTTTTACAAGAGGAGGAAGGTAAGCAGGAAACCTTTCCAGGTTGTTGTTGCCTTCCCACCCCTTCTCTCTTTCTCCGTCTCTCTAGTTTATTAATCCAATGAAATTCCACACTAGCCCTTTATTAGGTCTAGAAGAAGGGGGACACATTACTTACTTATTTTCATTTCTTCATTTCCTTTACAGATGGTTTGTTTCAGCTGTTCAATCCTCATCTTACAGGACATTATTTTCCATCTCTTAAAAAAAAAAGTATGCAATAAATATCACAAATGTTGGTCTCTTATGATTAATATGATTTTATACCTAGGATCACTATTATTTTGAGGCATAACTTAGAAAACACAATGAAGAATAGACCAATATGATTATATTTATTGTAACTTTTGTGACTAACTATGGTGGACTACAAAAAGAAGAAAATGTTATTCTGGTTCAGTGCAGAAGCTGGTAGGAAATTAAGACAGAAAGAAATTCACTTACTTCTTTCATGTGGAATGAGGACAGAGAGAAATGGTGAAGTACATTCTCCTAACCTGCTCTGTCCACTATACAGCTAATGATCACATGTGGCTATTTAAAAGTCATCTGAAATTGCATAAAATTCAGTCCCTACTCAACACTACCCACATGTCAAGTGTTCAACACATGTGGCTAATGGCTACCATACTGGGGAGTTTAGACATAGGACGTCTGCGTCATCACAGAAAGTCCTACTATTGCACTGCTCTAAACTCTTCATGCTATTTACTGAGGAGACCATTACCATCACTGTATTATCTCACTAATACAATACGCAATTATTACTTGCAAAATAATAAAAACTTCAATAAAAACAGAAGGTTTTCTCCCTCAAGATGAATAAAAGATCAGTAAAAATGCAACCTGGCAGTCAGTTAAAAAGTAGGATTACCTATTCTATAATGCCTCTATTAACTGTGGATAATTAAAAGCCTAAAACAGCACTCAAGTATTGATGGTGTTTAACACTGGCCTACGTGACCGGTCTGCGGTACAAGCCGCAGAGCAGACTGCGGAGACGCTGCAGACGGCAGAGTGCTAACCGCCCTGATGGAGGGACACCTGAAAGCAGACTCGCGGGGACCAATGGACTGACTCAAAGATGAAACGGCCACGAGACGTCTTCACTTTTAAAGGGCACTAGTCTTTAAGAAGCAATATTGAAATCTTTTATAGAAAAACTAGAAAACAGTACAGGGAATTTAGAAAAACAGCAAAGGGATTCTTTATAAATAGCCTTTAATGGTCTTTTCCCATACAGTGTATTTTGTTTCACTTATGTCACATACATTCTTCAAGTATTTAAAAATTATGAATGATGCTTATTGTGAAAAAAAACTAAACAGCACAGAAGAGAAAAACATAGTGATTAGCCTGACTCCTTCCCATTCTTCAGGGGTAATCTCAATTAAACTTTAATATGTATCTTTTCAGATTTTTTAGAGCATACTCATATTTAAAACACATACACAAATGGAATCATACTTCATCCTAGCCTTTTTGTTTGCTCTGTCATTAAAAAAACTCTTGGATATCATTCCGTATCAACACATGCGGACTGATCATTCTTTTGAACAGCTATACTGTATCAATTATTTATCTCATCCTGTTTGATAAGCATTTAAGATATTTATGGATCACTACCCAGGCTCTAGTCAATCATCTTCTTATCCATAAATCTCTGCATTCCTGTATTTTCTTAGGAGGAAAACTGAATATACCACATGTGCAATTAAAAAAACAAAACAAAAAACACACCCCAACAAACCACTAACTTGTCCTTCAACCAAATACATCAATGTATACTCCTACCAACACTGAATAAAAGTATTATCAAACTCCTTATTTCCATATGCTGTGCTCATTTTTTCCCAGTTATGTTCATTTTGCTCAGAGTCTTCAACATACAGAACTATTAAAACTTTTACATGGTCAGTGAAAAAAATGTTTCCCTTTTATGGCTTATAAAGGTCTGCTCATCTGTAGGTTATATTTATAAATACTCTCCTATATTTTAATATTTTTATGAGTTTACTTTTCACATTTAATCATCAATCCATGTAGGCAGTGTGTGTTTACAATGAGTAAGTTTTTTCAAAAAGCATAGTTCATCGTTCTTGTATTCCCATGTCAATACCAGACTTCATATTTATCCTTTATAATGGCTCTATAATTAATTGCCAGTACTCTGGCATCTAGATAAAATATTTGAGGGCCCACACTACAAATATATTCAAATAGAGGGCTGCCAAAAAATGATTCAAATAAATTTAAATTCAAAGTGATATTTTAAGCACTACCAAATGAAAAGCATGTAACCACAAGTATAAAGGATATTATTTAAATACTTCTTACAGCTTACCAACTGATCTGTTATCCATTTTCCTTCCATAGCTTTTAACACTCTGCACAGAGAAAAGACAATCATAATTATATTTTGTGAAACTCAAAAATGTAAAATCAACATCTTTTTAAAGTAAGTTCTTAAAAATGTCTGGAAATACCAAAGTGAGACTCAAGCATTCAATAATGTTTTCCAAGGGTGCCTGGCCAGGTCAGTCAGTGTAGCGTGTGACTCTTGATCTTGGGGTTGTGAGTTTGAGCCCCACACTGGGTGTAGAGATTATTTAAAAATAAAAAATAAAAATGTTTTCCAAATTCCCGTTCTCTAATTTTTCCCCCATTTCCTTCTTTTTGCACTTTTAATACTGCCCAGAACCTTTCTGTAAACATTCACAATTTCCAATAACAGCCAGAGCCTTTGTCCTCAGTCATAATCAATCATTTCTATCAGTCATAATTATTAATAATAATATTTACAAGAGAATTCATAATCTAAAATGTGATGCTCAGTTCCCAAAGAAATGGCACAAGCCGGCACCTGTAAAAACCTGTCCTATGAAGTGTTCTACGGAAGAAATAAAAGTTTCTGTGATTAAGTTAGAGAAATGACTTAAATAAATCTAAGCAGGGTTCTGTAATGCAGGACATCTCAGAAGATTTAATCTGCTCATAAATGTTTTCATAGACCTGGAGTGCATCTGGAGAACAGTGACTAGGTCACAGTTTGGGACAGAAGATTCTACAGGACAATTCTCAAATCCAGAGGGTGAGATTCATCAGGGGTGCTTGTTAATAACTCAGATTCCAGGGCCTTGCCCCCCACCCCAGACCTAAAGTCAGAATATCTGAGGATAGGATTCTGAGAATCTGCATTTTTAACCTTTATCTCAGCTAATGAATTCTGATGTAGATGATATGCAAGACCACACTTTGCAAAATGCTGATCCAGAAGAAGAAAGATAAACAGAAGACTTGACATCTTACAGGAACCACCACTTATTTGCCTGTTCTGGACCCATTTGCTGCACATCAATTATCTGGGCCAGGGGTCTGACTCATCAGTCTAGTCACTGAGTGCCTGCTGCGAAGGCAATGGATCTGATCCCAATGTTTCCTAGGAACCTGATAATCTCTCCTGTTTTGCTTCTCCCACATGCACTGCTCTTCCACACTTTGAGATTGTATCCTAAATTCAACAAGTCAGCAATCCATGTATCTACATACCACAGCACTGAATTAAACCACACAGTGACAAGAGAACCTCCACACGCAGAAAAGAAAAAGGGAAACTCACTCTTTTTGAAATTCTTCTTGCTTGCTCTTAAGTTGGCTTAACCTTTCTTTCTTGTCTATAAACCTGTAAGAAAAAAATGTAATGTTTTATTTAAATGTTCATTCTTTTCAGTTCAGTGCGATTATGCAAATTCCTAAGGGCCAATCATTTCTGCAGACTCATCTGGAGATGTCCTGGTCCTGAAAGTAAACACACATCTTCTCAAGGTGGTGCGCACACAGCTGCTTTCGCCACTTGCTCACTTTAAAACTAAGTTCAAATTCTCAGCTTTAAAATTCTTTCATGGGTTTATAAAATATGTCTAGAAGCCACCCCCCCCACCCCACTCAGATTAAATTATCTTCCAAAACAGGCACATCAGAGCACTAGAGTGAATTTGAATTCAAGGAAATTGAGGCTTCTAACATAAACATGATTTTAATTTAGCTTAATTCAATCCTGCTCTCACCTATAAATTGGTTACTTATCATTTTTAAAGTACAATGTTTTTTTCCTTACTAATTTTATTGCTAGTCCTTATGGGCTAACAAGTTACTTAGTAGAAGTTATCAAAAGGAAGGGATATCACATCGCAGTTCATTTTCTCTACAGTCTTCTCCCCTTATCCTTTCCTTCCTGTTACCTTATTTAGGGTTTAGTCTGCCTTTTTTTTTCTTTGCACAGTTTAAGATGGAAACCTAGATCATCCATTTTAAGGCTTTCCCTTTTAAATATAACCATATAGGGGCGCCTGGGTGGCTCAGTCGTTAAGCGTCTGCCTTCGGCTCAGGTCATGATCCCAGGGTCCTGGGATCGAGCCCCACACTGGGCTCCCTGCTCAGCGGGAAGCCTGCTTCTCCTTCTCCTACTCCCCCTGCTTGTGTTCCCTCTCTCTCTGTGTCTCTCTCTGTCAAATAAATAAATAAAATCTTTAAAAAAATAAATAAATAAAACCATATAAAGTTATAAATTTCCCCCCAAGTATTGTGTTAGCTAAACCCCAAAATGTCTTTTCACATCATTTAGTTTGGAATTCCTAATTTTCCACAAATTCCTTCCTTGATCTCCAAGTTATTTAGAAGTATAGTGCTTAATTTCCAGATATATGGGTTTTTCTAGGTAACTCGTCGTTTTCCATTTTCTGACAGAATATACTCTATGAGATTTCAATCTTTTAATTTGAGAGTATCTTACGGCCTTGCATCTGGTCTGCCTTGGTGAAAAGTTCCCTGTGTACCTGAAAAAATATGTGTTCTACAGGCTTTGGGTACTGTGTTCTAGAAATGTCACCAGCTGAAGGGGATGAAGAGTGACATTCAGATCTTCTAGATCTGTGCTATTCACTAAGATAGCCACCAGTCACACGTGCTGAGTACCTAAAATGTGGCTTGTTGCTTAATAAGTATCTGGGTAAAAAAAAAAAAAAAATTATATGACTAACATCATGCAACTGACTTTTAAATGAGCTAACAGTGGCTCGCTATCTTAAAAAAACACTATAATGCCATATGCTATAGTAACATAGTATGGAGTCCAAGATTAGGTTTTTGGCTGTCTCCCAAATTCCTAGCCCAAATGAAAACAATCTAACAGAATAGTAAGAACCCTAGAAATTGCTTCCTTAAAATGGTCCAGACTAATACCAGTCTAAAATATTTCTAAAACCCCATGTTTGAAACATATCCAAAGATATCTACTTCAAAATGGAAGGGATCAATAGATGAATGGATAAAGAAAACGTGATAAATATACATGCTAGAATACTACCAAGAAAAAAGAATGAGACTTTGCCATGTGCGGCAACATGGACAGACCTAGAAGGTATTATGCTAAGTAAAATAAGTCAGTCAGAGAAAGACAAATACCATATGATTTCACTTATATGTAGAATCTAAAAAACAAAACAAACAAGAAAATACTTAAATACAGATAATTGGTGGTTGCCAGAGGGGAGGTGGGAGAGGGGAGAACAAAACAGATAAAAGGGATTAAGAGGGACAAACTTCCAGTTATGTAGTAAATAAGTCACAGAGATGAAAAGTACAGCACAGGGAACACAGTCAATAATATTGTAGTAACACTGTATGGTGTATGTGACAGATGGTGACCACACTTACTGTGGTGAGCACTGAGTAACGTATAGAAGTGTCAAATCAATGTGTTGTACAATACACCTGAAATTATTTATTTTTTTTTTTAGATTTTATTTATTTGAGAGACAGAGAGCAAGAGAGGGAGGAGGGTCAGAGGGAGAAGCAGACTCCCCGCCAAGCAGGGAGCCCGATGCGGGACTCGATCCCGGGACTCCAGGATCATGACCTGAGCTGAAGGCAGTTGCTTAACCAACTGAGCCACCCAGGCGCCCCCACCTGAAATTATTTTAACATTCATGGAACGCTACATCAAAAACTAATGATGTATGTATGGTGATTAACATAAAATAAAAATTTTTTTTTAAAGATTTTTATTTATTCATTGAGAGAGAGAGAATGATAGAGAGAGAGCATGAGAGGGAGGAGGGTCAGAGGGAGAAGCAGACTCCCCGCTGAGCAGGGAGCCCGATGCGGGACTCGATCCCGGGA